ACATAGAATACGTGATTAAAGAGGAACTTACTGTCAGCGTCTTGCTTGACGTAGTTCTAAGCGTTGTATATTTTCGTCCATCGACATTTTTCCAATGAGCTTCATGTAGGTGTATTCATTACGCAAAGGTATGTCTTGAAGTTACAGTTCTATCCTAGTACTCATTCGGTCATTGGTGCAATTTTTCTACCTTGTGAACCTTGGTCTCAAATCCCCTGCTTTCAGAAAATTAATGTCAGATTTGTTTGTGAGGATAAAATACATCAGCAGGCCACCGTAATTCACTGTAAAGACAAGATTTGTGTTAATCACCTGTATGCTACTCCGAATAGAATGCAATGCAAGAGATGTCTCCCAGAGACTGATCTGTATCGAACGCCTCATTGTTTTATTATTATGAATCGTAGCGGTAACGACATGAATTATTAGTGATAAAGGTACGCAGTGATGTTCAAATTCGATACGAAACATCCATCGTCAAGCATTTTAGCCATGCCCCCATCTCAGAACCTCGATGGTAATCAAGTTAGCTTATGACAAAGCTTTAATGCCTATTTGAGAACTTATGTGCATAGTTAGTAGTTCGGATCCCGGTTTTGTTCTCAGTCAGCCGACGGCTAAAGAACGGTCGCGGTGGAGTATGGCCGATTATTGCGCGATTTTTTGGCCGTAGGAGTTCTGATGGTGTGACCAAGTGTGCAGTCAAAGTCTAACAAGTCAAACATTTTGTTATATTACACCTTTGTTTCGAGTGTTTTGTTAAGATCACGCTCAAATTTCAATAGGTCCTTTCATTATTATTTGAGCCAACCTGTCATGTGGTCTGGTAAGGGCTCTTGTACAGCCCGATACACGAGTTTCGTCCTTACAGACTCGTCAGTCGGGCGGAACCCGTCGTCTTTCGATATTTTTATAGTCAGTTCTCTCGAGAGCTCTGCACCCTTATAGAGAGTCATCGAAGACAAACGTTTTACATTCTATGTCAAGTGAAATTTTCACCTAACACAAAGTATTGTACAATGGATTGCTCATTGGCTGTATTTTATCGTATTATACCTTTATTCAGAGTATTTTGTTAAGACCACGCTCAAATTTCAATGGATCGTTTCATTATATTTCATCAAACTTTGTGTTTTTTCATAGACAAGCTATATGTAAGCCTAATAAGCTTAAACTTTTTGTTAATCACAAGAAAACAGTTGCATTCCTTGTAGTTGTGTGCCCTAAGTTCACTGTACATTCCCATAAACCAAGAGAAGAAGTTTTCATTCTTCATAAAGATTTGAGAAACCCTGTTTGTTCAGCAGGCAGTACGAAATGAATCGAGTACGAAGTAATACTGCAATTAAATTGTACGCGTATGAATTCCGATCAAACCGATTACTAGCCTTTTCCGATGAATTATTTAACTCAAGGCAGACTTACAGGGATAAATCTTACTAAGGAAACTAGTCTGACAGATCCTTTGAGTGTTCAATATTATGAATATGCCGCTGATAATTGTTGTTCCCTTTACTGTGTCGGGAGACTTGCATCGATGACAGACAGTGTGGTCGGGTCGGCCGGTCTGTCGGTCGGTCGCTCGGCCGTTGTTGCAGCTCGTAAATGCGGCAATTTCGCTATTCAAGGTCTCGTCTAAGTGCCAGTCCTTAGTGTCTCAGCACCGTCATCACTACCACTACCACCATACTCCCACAAGATATCCATATATTAATTACTCCGCCGCTTGAGTTTTGTCTTCTCTGTGACGGCGACGGACTCACTGGCGAAAGAAACGATGGCGGCACAATTTGTTTGATGAGAGGAACCGATGAAGTGGAAAAAGGAGAGAAGATAAAAGAGAGTTTCGAAATGAATTGAGTGAAAAGAGCGAATTGAATGAAATTCCGGGCAATGTCTTTGAAAGAACACGATATGATGAAGAGTAGATATTACATTCAGCAAGTCAAAAGGGTGTCTGGAATTGAAAAATCATGGCTAATTAGATGATCGTGGTTTTGGCGGTGGTACTGGTCGTGGCGTGCAGAAAACCAATACATGACATAATGGGCACGCTATCTGTGCTTTACTTTCTGTTGTGTGTGTCCGTCAATAGGAGCTTGTAAGCGACAAATGTATTTGTTTTTTAGATAACGGTTTCAAACGCTATTTTCAATATGTAGGAGTGTGTGTAGCATAGTTGTTTGCAGTGCTCTTCATGCAGAAAGCTGGTTACTTCGACCCCACATAGTGTATCATTCAAGCTTATCGATATTTACATTCTTCCATAAGTTTCGCCATGGACTAGAGTTTTCTGAAGATTGCCCCAACCATTCAGCTTTTGCTAAATCTTTAATCCCTCCGGATGGGCAACAAATTTGTATATGAGAAGGGCAGGACTACCTTGTATCACTGTCTCACCGGAAATCTCATATGCGCTTATTCACTTCTATAATACTATGAGTGGAGTTGAATGCATGACAAATTTTTGAGAGACTGATCAGCGCTAGTGTTTTACACCTTATTCTATACCAATGAGTCTGTTTCATGTTCATTTCAGGAATATTTCCCGAATGAAGACGCGAAATTTAAAAGGCTGGTAACAATAGTTGTCAGGGTTTTTTTTTTTTCCTTGATGAACCGCCTTCACAGTGTTCTTTTTTACTGTGCGCATTCCAGTACTTCTGGCATTCAATTCGTTTTTCCGTCTTCTTCTTGAACATCGTAGAATACTGGTTGAGCGAGTCACTTCGCAATTTCGAGGATAGCCTAGCTGTCCTCCAGCGTAGCGTTCCATAGGGCGTTGTTGTTGACTGCCAGAGAGAGTTGAGATGGAACTCGGCTCCATGTGGCCGCGACGAGCATCACAGCCACTCGGCCACCGCACCCCAGTTGCCAGAGATACGGTTGATAAATACGGCACTTTTAGAACAACATTGCTATAAATAACTTAACAAAATACTTATCCTATTGAAGTGATTTGCAAAACCGTCGCATATAGCCTAAACTCGGCATTGGTCGAGTACATCCGTAGTTTTTTCCTCATTCAGCGGACACAAGGTTATTAATAGACTAACTGTACTATTTTCAACTATGTATATTGCACGAATGTAGTCTTTTAACAACATCGTGTTCGTTGAGTGAGAAAATTGCCGAATATACTACTATTTGGTCTATAAATACGTTTTTAGGAATATGATGTGAAGACTGAAGCAAAGTCATGTTAGGCCAGTCATCACGTGTATTGTACAGATCACACCACTTTCATTTGGTTCGTTTCCTCTTCATCCTCCCAAGAGGTTTTCGATTCTGTGTGTTGTTTCGGCTACTGCTTAAAAATTTCGTCTTCTTTATAAATGTCGTGCAATGGTGGGCAAGGGGATTCTCTTTGCGATCTTAAGAATAGTGGAATCAAGGCCTAATGTGGACTTGCGAGACAGCGTTGAGTGTGGAACCAAACCTTGCTTCGTGAAGCCATCACTATCTAACGCGCTATACCACACTAAAAGCATTATAGTTTTAATATATAGTAGTTTTATTACATATACATATATAGGCAGTTAGAAATGAGCTGTATCAAAATAGGAAACCTTGCCCGTAACTGGGCAAAATTTGAAGTATCGGGTAGAAAACGAAAATCGAGAGAAACGTTGGAATGCTTTGGTATGTAATCATTTACTCATTGCTAAATCATCGTTGTGCTTAGCAAATCTAAAATAGAAATGTGTGATAGTTAAATCTTCATTTTCGATACAACTAGCGTTCACACGACTTTTTCTTTTCGAGACCAGTCATTAAACCAGTCATTTTAGCAGCACCTGACCACAAGTAATCACAGGTGAGAACTCTGTTTTTGCTGAACAGCTTAGGCCAGTGATGTCTATAATTTGACGATGAATTTTTGGCAGTGGTGATGATCATTATGGCTCATCCGTATGCTTCACAGTCACTTAATTGACGAGTGGTTAGAAGAATCGGCTCACAAAATACACGTCATGTTCACTCAAGTGAATTTGTTCACATGTTTATGAGTGAAAAAAATTATGCATATAACAAATATAAATCAATTCGATTGCAAGGACAATGAAGAAATTTTTTGATCTTGTTACATCTCTTGTAAATTGTTAAATGTGCATCATCACTTTTCATGTACATCTAATCCCTCATCTGCAACTTAGGTAGGCGACACATTCCTTACACCTAATCAGCGCGGATCGTTTGTATGTCGAAGGCCAGAACATTGTTTCATTAAGTTTATTCCCACTCTACAGCATTGTTGCTCAGGACAATCTCTATACTCAAAAGTAGCTCAATATCCATCCTGGAGGCGAGCGAAATAGACCAATAATAGAAATCAATATAAACTTTACATTAGCGGTCACTAGCTGACATGTGGTGATGATCCGAAAGACCCTAACGCAATTTCTAGAGTTTAGAGAAAAATTATGCCAGCTAACAAATTACCAGTGAACTGAGAATTGTGATCGCTCCCTCATGAATCCTAGTGATTCGTGAAAACTGTCCACCGAAATTTCGGAGTACCTCTTCTATCGACCGCTTTTTTATAGACCCGCTCAAAGTGATATAATGTGATATGGATATACATGTTTTGAGCTGATAGGTCTAGTGGTATACAGGCGCCTGTTTCGTCCTATTAGGACTCATCAGTACCACCCTCCCTCGGTTCACCTCACCACAATGTCAGGTAAGTACATCACCTGACTTAAGGTGATTCAATACTCGGCGTCGATTCCTTATAGAGCATTACTCAACCTCAGGGGATCGGCTGAGCCGAGGGAGGATGGTACTGATCAGTCCCAATAGGACGAAACAGGCGCCTGTATACCACCAGACCTATCAGATCAAAAAATGCACATCCTTATCGGTAAGAGTTTGTTTCATACGTGAATATCATTAAATTTTTGTTTACAGCTGAACATTGAGTAGCTTTCAACTACATAATTTTTTTCAACAAAAATGGTCATGTATACCCAAGAGAATTGAGTGGTGAGCAAAGATACGACCACAGGTGGGAGTCGAACCGGCGTACCATCCATACCGGGGACGCGTGCTCCCACTACACCACCGAGGTGCACTCGCACCACCACACATTCTTCGATATCTCTATGATAGCCATTAGCCACCAACCTTTAACAGGTTTGGTCGGGTATGCGATTTTGCTTTATAAGCCCAGTTGAGCGGACAGCATTGTGATAAGTAATACTCGAAATTTCTAGTGTTTTTACTGCCTTTTTCGACCTGAGAGAACTGAATAGGGAGCAAAAATAAAATGGTAATTTCAGCTGCAAAATCACATGTGTTTTGTCGACTCTGCTTTCCATTTTCATTGTAGAATATGTAGACGATGCGTCCGTGAGTCATCAAGTGATCCACGCAAATTACGAGATGGCGAAGTTCTTTGGAGCGGAATGATTGTCAGCTGCGCCTGCGTCATGTCATTCAAATTGAACAATGTCGGAATGGGACAATATGCCGCATTTTCGTACCCATTTCATGTTCGACTCTACTTACCGTCGCCTTGACGGAAATCATCTTTCATCAACTGCCGACCAGCCATCGCGACGCACTTAACTACCACCTCCTCCATAACCATCTCCATTTTCAACGTTTTTCTTTGTTCCAACATTTCTTTCGTTTTATTCATCTTTTTGTATCCGCTTTCACTTCAACAAATTCGTTATTGATTTGTTCAACCACAGCGCACGCAATTTCGCAGGAAATCTCATTAATTTAATCAGAAAATTGGCAATTTTGATGAAGAAGATAGTACTCAATCTCTTTCTAAGTAAGAACTACAGTTTTTAGTGGATTTGCATGATCCTTACCTTATTCCTAATAAACATTTAGATATCATCTATTCAATACTGTCCGAAAAAATTGCCTGCTCTCATATACTGTGAATAACTCTTGCATCAGAGTGCTGTGTATGATTTTGAACCACTTTCCTATTTTTGCGCCAACTTCAAAGGCAGCAATTGATAAGTGATTCACTTCCTTTATTCTTCTACTTTCGTGCTACTTTACAAAACTTCTCCCTTTGATGTAACGACATGTTCGAATGGCTGAATTATTTTTTACTGAAAAACACATGGAAACTTACGGACTTTGAACCCATCTCTTATTTCGATAACTTACGTGAGCAACCTATACAATATTTTGATATCTTCAAACAAATGATCTCATTTTACAAGTTGGGTGGGCATAAAAGAATTCGCTCCTCTCCTAATGGAACAATAGAAATGCTTGTGAGATTGTAGTTGCACTTGTTCAGTGTTGGAAAGAAGCTAATCTCATGAAATGGCGTTTCAGATCACTTTAATATCCTACATCTATTTAGAATTTTTTAAAAAATGCCCTGACAGATTGTCATTGGAAGTATTGCATTAATTTAATTACAGTCTTCAGTGGACTAATAGACTGCTGGTTTGGCAACGTTTATTTCCTAAGAATACAGCGCAAACTGTCAAAGACGTTCCGAAATTTTCACAACAATCATTCGCCCTTTATGAATTGTTGAGGTCCCACATGTTGAGGTCAGCCTTTTTTAAGATGGAATCAGTTCATGGTGTTGGTTTACTTTCGTGGAGATTCAAGAAATGGATATTCACTTCTTTTTTACACGAGTGACTTTAATGAGAATAATCTTTTTTGTATACCAGTTTGACACTTTATTTTCGTAACTTTACATTCTACCAGTCAAAGGCGATCGACTGTTAGTCACTGCAATGGGGGGGGGGGGGGGGATTTTATACCTGACAATGCGGTTATTTGATTATTCAATGTCAATTCCTTCATATGTAGGTGTCAATCCCCGTGCAAGAGATTGGCTAATTCGAAAGACACCATGTTACTGATGAGGTGCAATGCCGAAACATCTGTTTAGTATCGGATAAGTGCCACAGCAGACCTCGTGATAGGCTCAAATATGTTAACAGATTACTTTCTATTCACTTTATCATTCAGTTAATCCGTTTCAAAGTTTTTTTTTTCTCACTGTACGGATCCCAGTACTTCTGGCATTTATTCGTCTTCCGTCTTCTTCTTAAACGAAGATAAGGTAGAATACTGATTGAGCACGTTTATTCTAATCCCAAGGATAGTTGAGGTGTGGAGATAAGCCTTGTGCAGCGGCGAGCAACGCAACCACTCACCCTCCGCCAATTAGCACTAGTTTGCACGAAAGTTCACGATGGAAATATTTACCATTGAGAGATACGCTGTTTGATTTCCTCGTTCTAAGAACACTATAAAAGGATAAAGGTCTCGGCGTTAATCTATCCCTGAGGGATGCGCCATGCATTCGACTGCAATTTTTAACTTCGTTTGAGGTGATTGAATGCACATCTGGCCTTTTACAATGACTCGCGGTGGCCTCCCGCTGAACCGAGTCAGTGCTGCTTATCCTCCCAGACAAGTCTGACACCTGTCTGGTACCAATTTACCTACCCCGGAGGGATGGATGGCTTGGTGAGCCATGAGCGCGAGATCGAACCAGTGACCTCGTGTGCGGCGCAGGGCACCTCTAACCACTGCGCCACATGCGCTCATTAAGAACACTATAGAATTCAAAAAATTAATGCTTCGTGCAGCTTTTTCCAAATTATATATATATATATATATATATTTGAGGGCATAGAATGTTTTTGTTAGAGGATAAGAAGCTAGGACGTTAAACTTTGGTCAATTTATGACGAATAACGTTATGCATTCGATTCGTTGATCATCATGGAAGCGATTAAATACACATATGGTCTTTACAATGATTTACAGTAGCCTATATAGTACCAAATCAGTTATGCCATCCTGCAGGTTGTCTGGCACCAATTTCCCGATTCGAAGAGGGAGGGGCTTATAGCTCAGTGCGAGCATGGTCGATGCAACAATCGTGTTTGTGTTGAATGTTTAGGAGCAACATCAAGCAGTGCTATGCACCCACTCATAATCTACATTATTTAGGTAAATGTTTATTTGATGTTTTTTAGGTAAAGGATAGTCTTTCTTCAAAATGTGTTGAAGAATTCAATCATATTGAGCTGGTGAAGCTATTAAATTAGTCTAGAGATGCTAGCCTCTTGTTGTTGTGAATTTTAGCAAGAAAGAAGTCATGTTATCGTTGTTTGATGCTTACCTTGATGGCATATGCTGGTTCAAAGATTATGCCCTGCATAACTTCCCCATACTTAGGTTTTCTATCACGTGATTTATAAATCTTTAGGTTGTTTGAAGTGATGTTTCGAAGATGACGTAGTTACATCGCTTTGTTTCATGAGATTAGTCTTAGACATATCGCTACAGTGACAACGCAATATGTCATCAAACGCTGGCCTAGATTGGTGGTTTGGAACGCTTCCGAACTCATATGGCTAAGATTGTTTCATATCGAAGGAAAGAGTGTGGGTGGTGAATGGGTGTCTACCAAGCAGTTGGTGACCAGCTGAAGGTGATAATTAGTGCTGACCTCCAAAAATCACACTCAAGAGGCTGCTGAAAAACTCTTCGTAAGCCCTATAATTCAGTATTCAAAAAAAAACGTAATTGTAATTGTCGTATAGGCTTGACGAATGGGATGGCGCGTAATATAGATCCTATACATTTGACGACTTTTAGTGCTGAGGCTACACTATGATGAAGCATCCTCCCAAGGCATATTTTACAGCATAGAGAGGTTATGGAGAACGGTTTTGCGATTATAGTCTGACAATTCCAGCAGAACATTCACGATTCCACGAAACAGTTACAAGAAAGTTGTACTGTCACGTAACTGAAGATTCGTCAAGAACTGAAGCATACGAAACCATAATTAGTGAACAGAAATAGTCCGAAGCTTTTAGTGTGATAACGCTCGGCGGCATTTAGCAACAACACTGAAACTGTTAAACAAGTCAGGCTACAAAGCTCTTCCTCCTCCAGCATAATCACCGAAATGCTTCCAAATCAACTACAACTTTCTCAAACGTCTCAACAAATGCTAGTTTTTCAACAATGCTAGACCATTGTTATAAATGAGTTAAACGACTTCATGGCTTTTGGTTGCCAGAATTTCATGATACAAGAGTGAATAATTTTATAATTTGTCAAGCACGTAGACCTAGATATTTGTTATTTTTACTAGTTGCTTAGCTTAACTCATAGTGCTGCTCAAAATTCTTCATAGTTTTTGGCTCAATCAATGCTTTTCATCAAAATATTTTGCAAATCAAACCCAAAATTGGCATTTTTCTTCAAGTACATGAAGAATTATATGGCAAATAAACTATTATTGCACACGTAATCAGCGAGTTGTCATAACGAGATGAGACAAGCTTGTTTCCTGCATGACTTCTGGTAGTAACATTTCTATTCTTTCATCTCTGCTCTAGCTCTTCTGATATTCTCAAAATTTTCTGATTGGGCAGAGACCGTCTGTCAGGTGTGCATTCGAAAAACGTAGTTTGAAGTTATACTACCCAGTTGATTCTCGGCACGACACTCTGTCTTTGCTCAAACAATGCCGTGTCCTTCACGGCACTATAAGCGATGAGCAGTCTTTTTGTAGTACAATATTCTACAGAGCAACCTGTCATGCTACTATACTACTTTCCAGTGAAGAATTATTGCGACTTGAACGAAATGTATCAGTCCATTACGGTGATATGTTCAAATGAAAAGAATGCAATTTACCTCATTCAGTTAACATTTATGTTATTTCTATAATGCTGAATGGAATCGAATACATGCCACATCCTTGGAGCACTGATCAGCACTGAACGCTTTACTGTCTTATCTTGAAATTTCGAAGAAAGGAATCTGAATCAAAGCATTTTGATCACACTTTACTCGAATGATCTCTACTCATCAAAACAAATCAAACCACCACTTTCAAGCTCTGCTAATACAGAAAAATCATGTCTACTCGTTTGCCACCACAAGTGAAGCGTTCGTCAAATGAAGTCAGATTATTGAAGTTCCTCACGCGCAGTGTGACTGCTTAGTGCCGTTTCTCTGCAGTAGCCCTCTTGCCACTATTTGTTCCACTTAGAAGCATTGTTGACAAGTTACCCGAACATTCGATCTTACAATCTCTTGACGTTC